GTGCCCGCGCTGTGGTGCGGCGCGACCCCGATGAACCCTCTACAGGGATTCTGTGTGTCGAAGTGCTGGCGCTGTGGTGCGGCGCAAATTCTTTACGTCGCCGATGAACCCTCTACAGGGATCCTGCGTGTCCAACCTGAACAAATCCTTGGCCGCACCTCCGAAAAAAGAGGGTTGGCCGCACCTCCGAAAAAAAAAACCCCCCGCCTTGTAGAAACCGTAACCGGCCCGACCTCTCCCGAAGAAGCCCAGGTTGACGAGCATCCACAACGCAACCCCGCGCGATGCCAGCAGCGAACGGAGCCCTCCCGCTCGCCTCACGGCCTGTAAAGGAATGCTAGGATACAAAGTTACCCAAGGGTCAGAGGTTAGGGGCTTTAAGGGTTTAGGGGTTCAGGGTTTAGGGGTTTAGGGGTTTAGGGTTAAGGGTTTGGGGTTTACTAGGATGCCCAGTAGTACCCTTATTCCCTTTTTGTAGTCCTAGGTTCCTTATAAAGTTACCCAATACCAAAAAAGGAGCCCTTTTTGTTCCTAGGTTACTGGGCATCCTAGAATAATAACAGTAGTAATACATAAGTATGCATAGTACTTGTAATAAGAACAAGAGTAACAACGACACTTGTAATAGAAATAATATTAAGAGTAGATGATGAGAACAAGAAGAAGCGTAGCAACCGAATAACAGTAAGGATAGTGCAGTGCCTATAGTCTCCATTGTAGTTCCTTTTTTGGTTTAACCAGTTCTATATTAAGGATCTCTAAAGGTAACCCCAAAAAGGAACTACAATGGAGACTATAGGTGTAATACATATTTCTAGTAATATTGGAACGAGTGGCAGTCATCCAAAGGAGCCCTTCAAGAGGAGCTTACAAAGGGTTTAGGGCTTTGGGTTGGGGGATGTCTAGGGTCTCGGGGTTTGGGTTCAGAGGAACCCCTAAAAGGAATTCCCATACGAAGCCGCAAGAGACATTCGGATTGTTACAGGATTTCTATTGAATGTTTCGGGATGTTTCTGTCAGAGGAGTGTTCCTGAGTTGAACCATCGCGTTTCAGGCGCCGCATTTGAGCGTCTTGCTTTGTGCTTAGGGCTTAGGGGTTTAGGGTTCTAGGGTTTACGGGTTTGGGGTTTAGGGTTTGGGGTTTCGAGTTTTTTTGCCAGTCGTAGTCTGAGCTATTTTTTGAAGCGTTCAGTTGAGCCATAGGGCTCCAGATACCCAGAGAGCAGGTAGGGTTCAGGGTCTTGCTGCAGGGAAGCGAATTCTGCGACATTCCTTAATGCAGTTGTTGTTAGGTTTAGGGTTTAGGCTTAGGGCTTGATGGCGGTAGCGGGGCCTAGGATTTACGCTGGTATTGGGCTGACGGGGTGTCGTGCTTTCAGGCCCATAATAGGTTTCGGGGTTTGGAATCTATCCCGCCTGGCATTATTTTGGATCCCTACACCCTGAACGCCTGACCCTAAGCCCAGACGCAAGCTCGACACTAAGAATTTCCTTGCCCTGCTAGTTTCAAGAAGGAGCCTTTCAAGTCCTTTCCTGGTGTCTATTTGAGAAGATGCACATCTCCCAGGGCCCAGGACTTGAAAGCCTAGTTTCGGCATGAGGGCTTCCCGCGCTTGCTTGAGCGATCAGGGCACTTAGCAGCTTATTAGTCTGACGAATGTATCTCGCGCTCCTCCACCAACACAGATGCGAACATATGCGTGAAGTCCCATTGTGGTTTTATAGAATCTACCCCAAGGCCCGATCAGAGTCGCTGGAAAATCGGCAAACCTTTACAAGGTCTGGTTTGAAGGCTTTCGTTGTTGGCGAAATTACTGTGCCTTTTCAACCGCAATGTTACTAATTATACCATCAACAATTGATGTACCCCCAAACCCCACTCGCACAGTAGAGGTCCTATATGGGTAGTTGTCAAAATTATGGTCCATTCTTGGGTACCCTGATTATGAGGTGCCGCATAATTTTATCAAGACCCAAAATGGACCATAATTTTGAATTCCTTGCAGTTCGGACTTCTCAGCGTCTTGGGGGGCTAAGCTCCAAACTCGAAGCCCCCTGAACCCAAAGCCCTAGGCCCTAAACCAGCCCGAAGCCGTAAACCCCTAAACCCCTAAGCCTCGAAAATCCTAAACCCTAAACCCCAAACCCCAAAAGCCCCAACCCCTAAGCTCAGTTCCTTCCCTCCAAGAAATCTGCCAGGAACGGGTCAAATTCAGACGGAAGACCTGAGCGAGAAACAGGAGCCCACTCCAAATCATGTCCCCGCATAGTCCCTAGATATTTACAAATCATATCCCCTTAGCTCCATATCCTCATAAGATTCCTTGTATATTTCTAAGTGTAGCATCAATAATGTACCCCCAACACCACGCTAACGTGTAAGAGTTCTTCGCGGTTTTAAAGGATCATGGGAGGCTCAGGGTTTAGGGTTTAGGGGTTCAGAGTTATAAGTAAGGTAACTTTACTCCTAGCTTCGAACTACTTGTTGTAGCGTCATTTCAGGTGCTTACAACCTTGCTTCCCGTTCGGAAGGGATCTTCTGAAGGCCCACAAGCCTATTCTTTCAAGGGAATGAGTCTGGAGCTGTAGCTAACCCGATGCCCTCAAACCCTGAACCCCAGATCAGGTAGCCTTTGCTTTGGCCGGATCTGTTTTGCTCTCCGTCGTTTCGGATTCCTAATTTTGTCAATCCGAGCCCACGAAAAGGCGGCGACTCTGCTTCGTATCAGCGATGCAATCAACGGTTAACCGTATCTATGGCTGGAAGTCTTGGAGAGTTCTTGAAGGTGGTAAGAAGGGATGGTCCTGGATTGCGCAGCATCACCAAAAGCTTTGACCGTATATTCGACAATATGATGTTCGATGACATGCCATTGTGCTATATGATATGATCTGATGCTGCATCCATACTACATACCAAGACAACCACTAATGCTCATTAATCTGCATTGTCCATACCACGGCATAGGCTGCAATTCTCGTTGTTCACAGTCTGCTCAGGGGATGATGGGACGTACCCTTCAAGGAACTCTTTAATGAAAGGAACCCAGTAATTCAAGAAGCCTTACTTGCTAGTTCCCCATGGCTCTGGCACCTTGAAGCCCCAGGAGGTCTTACGTAATCAAGTTCCTACTTGGAGGATCATGGGACTTAGTAAGTAAGATTATACAAAGGGCTCCTTAAAGGAATCCTTAAAGGGATCTATAAAGGTACTATACGAGATGTATGGGATGTAGTCAGTAAGGTTATAAGTACCTCAATTGGGGCTATAAGTAGTTACAAGTATAGATACCTTACTGATAACCGAGGGACTAAGTCCCACGATCCTCCAAGTGCCCCCGCCAGGATCAGCGATGCATCCTGCGCCCTTCTTCGCGCGTGCGCGTCTGCGCTTCGGCAGTGCCAGAATTCCTTTCGCGGTTTATGGCTTAGGCCAAGGTTTGAAGTAAATCCCTTAATGGTGGTTCCTAGAAAGTACCCTTAGTAGTATAGGGCCCCAAATTAGGGGTTTAGGGTTTATGGCTTAGGGTTGGAAGGTTGGGTTGTTTGGGGTTTTGGGGATCAAGTGTTTAGGGTTTCGTGATTCAAATTCAGTCGTAGAATCCTGAAGCCATGTTCAGGGTTCTCAAAACTAGGGTTCCTTTGTAGATCCCTAATATAATACGGCACCTAATATCTAGGGTGCCCAAAAAGGGACCCTAATTTTGACAACCACCCACATGCTAGGCGGCTGTATGGCGGCCGTACGCCATGAAGGAGCCTGACTCCGATCAGGCTTAAAAGTGGGACGTACTTAGGTTGATGTGAAAGACCTCTAGAGGATTTGATCCGTAAACCCATGATCTAGAACCCTAAACCCTAAGCCCTAAAACCTGAGCCTATGATCTAGACGCCTCGAGCGCCGAGAAGTTCGAGCTGGGAAAGGGGCCTCGAATCCCTATTGGTGAGGTGCTGGGTTCTCTGGGTATGGTGGCTTGGAGGTTTAGTATTTGGTGGTGCCACACAGCTTCAGAGATTCAGGGAAAGCTTAGGCTCGGGATTTGGGTTTAGGGTCTGGTACAGTGGTACAGCTTCGTGCAGAGAGAAAACCCAAGTCGTGAATCCACTATCTGGTTCTTAGTGGGGAATGGGGTCCCCTACTATAGGGAGACCTTAAGGGACTATAGTAGGGATCCATTCCCGAATTCCCTACTTAGAGGATCGTTGGACTTAGTAACTAGGGTTATAAGTAAGATAACTCCACCTGTAACTAGCCCGATTAAGGTACTTATCACCTTACTGACTACATCCCATACATCCCTTATTGTACCCTTATAGATCCCTTTAAGGATCCCTTTAAGGAGCCCCTTATATAACCTTACTCCAAGTACTAAGCACCAGACAGACCAGGCTGGGACGTGTTAGCCATGGTGGTGCTGGTTTACGACCTGATCACGATTCCGATTCAAGTCTTCTACTTCGAGGTCATCGGCGGAGGGTTTGAGAGTGTAACCTGTAGGTTCTTCTGACAACGACAGCGGCATGTTGGGTTGCGGGCTTGCTGCGAACATTGTTCTTTTCTTCTACTGCTTGCTGCTGCTGCTGCTGCTGCTGATGATGTTGCAGATGACGATGGTGATGGCGGTAATGATGTTTATGATGGTAAAGGAGGTGCTAGTGAGCTAGTGATGGCGAATTTTACTCTGATAACATATGTGGGTTCGTGGATCGTGATCATACCGCCACAGCAGACGATGAAGAGACGAGGGGACGAGGAGCAGAAGTAGGACGAGGATGCGAAGCACGATGGTTCTGCATTTATTCTCCTGAGGATGTCAGATAGTAGCGATGATGGCTGATTATGCTTATGATGCTGGTGGCGATGATGATGCTGATCAAGAGGATGCTAATGATGATTGAACCTGTCACACTGGCGGCTGTGGCAGCAGTGCCCAAGACGTATGGCCATACGGATAAACATGAATATGTGTTTGTTGTTGTTGATGATGATGGTGGTGGTCATGGTGATGGCGGCTGTCATTGTGGTGGAGACGCTGATGAGGACAAAGGCGTTGACGGTTTTGTTGAGGATGGTGACGGGGCAGCTGGCGTTGATGCACACCGTGATGCTGTCGACAATTGGCGACGTCGACGCCCAGAATCATGATCATGACGACACTGCGATTGATGATGGCCTGGACAGTCCCAACGGTAATGCTACTGTGGGACATGATGCTGAAGATGACAACAGACTTGGTTCAGCGGTAATCTCCATGCGGGTGGACGATTGTGCATGTTAGGTCGTGCGTTCTAACCCTAAGCCCCACACCTCACCTGTTCGCCACCCCTAACCCCTAACCCTAAACCTAACCCCTAACCCTAACCCTAACCTAACCCTAACCTAACCCCTAACCCTAATCCTACCCTAACCCTACTCTGCCAGGAGGTGGCTGACCGGTTCTTGTTCGTGTTGCAGATTCTCATCACGCTGCTCCGGCTAAACTGTGAGGAATTCATGCCCTACTCAGAGTGGGTTAATATGGCATAATATACTCTACAATGGTAAGTGCCACAGAATGCAATACAATATACGATAACATAGTGTAGTGTACATCATGTACTGTATTTATAACAATGCACTATACTTTAATGTCACACCATATGCCCAAACACTGCATAATGCCATATACTGCAAATAGCTATATCCTCTATTCTTACATAACATGGAGAACTCAGTAGTTGGCATATATCCTCCGGATGAATAAAGCAGGATCGACACCAACTCCGAACTCTAAGCCCGAACCTCAACACAAAACACCACAACGCCCGACATTCCGACTGCAACCCTTTCAAGCCGTATTTAAAGCGCCGTACCCAAAATCAACATCACGAGAACCCTCAAGAACCCCCAACCACCAAACCTCCCAGAACCCTCCAGAACCCTAAACCTTGCACCCCAAAGCTTAAACCCTAAACCCTAAACCTTAAACCCCAAAGCTTAATCCCCAAGCCTTAAACTCGAAGCCTTTGCAGGAACCCTTAAACCAGGCTCTACTGGGTGGCAGATATTCCGGCGTCACTTTGTACGGCGGTGTATGTCAACAACACGCTGCTTCAAAGGACCGGTCGCACTTAGAAGATCGGGTTCCCTTAAAGGTGTCGTTTAAGGGATCTACAAGTGACAAGCGTTGCTATTAAGGGCTCTATATGGGTTTTGGGGGTACTTAGAGGATCGTGGGACTTAGTAATTAGTGTTAAAAGTAAGGTGACTATATGTATAACTACTTACAACCCCAAATAAGGTACTTATGACCTTACTTAGTAAGTCCCATGATCCTCCAAGGAGGAGTTAAGGCCTTCTGTCAAGACGCCCTTTTTGGGGGCTTTTATAGGGTTTAGGCTTTGGGGGGTTTTATGGAGGACCTCATGCACTTGTATGAGGGTTCAGGGTGTTCAGGGTAGGGACCCAAAATAAATAAGGGACCTTTACGATAGAAGTGTTCCCCAACCCTAAACCCCACGCCTGACACCTTCAACTCGAGGATGCAGTCTCGGTTCCCAGGTTTGTAAGCACCAGCTCGACCCGCCGTGTTGCAGACATATGGTTTCAACTGAGCTGCATGGTCAACTAGAGTTTTGCCTTGTAATATCACGACATACCTCTTTCCTACGACAACAACAATTCCTGCCACTCTCTGCCACCTTGGCTGCCACCGTCACTGCAGCTGCCATTACCACTACTGCTACTGCTACTGCTGCTACTGCTGCTACTGCTGCTACTGCTGCTGCTACTACTACTACTACTACTACTACTACCACTACCACTACCACTACCACTACCACTACCACTACCACTACCACTACCACTACTACTACTACTACTACTACTACTACTACTACTACTACTACTACTACTACTAGTACTACTGCTAGTACTACTACTACATACGACAACGACGACGACGACGACGACGACGACTACTACTACTACTACTACTTCTACCTCTACCTCTATTCGACTTCGACTTCTAATTCTGCTTCTACTTCCACTGCTACCGCTACTGCTACTGCTACTGCTACTACTGCTGCTGCTGCTGCTGCTGATGCCGTCTTCGCACTTCACTGTTGCTACTACGCGACTTTTCGACGCCAGTGGGTGGTGCTGACTGGTTGTCATTCCTTTTCCCGTCATTGCCTGCTTCCTTTAGCCTCCGTTGTCTTGCATTCTTTGTCAGCTACCAGCTACATCTCCTGGCCAGTTTGGACATTTTTCTTGTGCGTTGGCCTGCGCGCTTCCTGTCCGCGTGTGCGAGGAGGCGCGACATAGCGAAGAACTACGCAGCTTGGCGGGTGTGTCGTCTCGTCTACCAAACATAGCCTTGCCACCAGAGCCACCAGAACCATCAAAACAATCCACAATCACCACGACCACCACGACCACCACAACCACCACAACCACCACAACCACCACAACCACCACAACCACCACAACCACCACAACCACCACAACCACCACAACCACCACGACCACCACAAGCACCACAAGCACCACAAGCACCACAACCACCACAACCACCACAACCACCGCAACCACCACAACCACCACGACCACGCTACCACTGCCACCGCAGCCACCATGACCAGGGAATGAATTCTGGAGTGGGTGTCTGTAGGACTCGAGGTTGCAGGCAGAGCAGGGCACTACCTTGAATGGGAGCCCCGAATCCCAAATTCTCGAATCCAAATCAGAGGTAAATTGAAGGAATGAAACAGCAAGAGCCATCAGCACCAAACCTAACACCCCAAACCCCAAGCCATCCCGAAACCCTAGACTAGGATGCCCAGTAGTACCCTTACTCCCTTTTTGTAGTCCTAGGTTCCTCATAAAGTTACCCAATACCAAAAAGAGAGGCCTTTTTATTCTTAGGTTACTGGGTATCCTAGTAGACTCCGAGCCGGCCCTGTAATGGAAGCGTCTGCTATCAGCTGCTATCATGATAGGGAGCCGACTTACGTTCGTGTTGCAATCCGGGAAATGTTGGGATTCAACTGAATGGTTGCGGTTCGGCTGGCTAGCTTCATTCTAACCTTTGATCGTTGCGAGTAGTATTTGGGCGGTCTTGGGGTGGGCATATCGCGCAGTGTTCGAGACAAGCCCTAAACCCTAAACCCCAAACCCAAGCAGCCGCGGTAATTCGAGCTCCAATAGCGTATATTAAAGTTGTTGCGGTAAAAAGGCTCGTAGTTGGATTTCTGTTGAGGATGACCGGTCCGCCTTCTGGGTGTGCATCTGGCTCAGCTTCGACATCTTCCTAAAGAACGTATCTGCACTTCATTGTGTGGTGCGGTATTTAGGACATAAGCCCTGACCCCTAGACCCTAAACCCTAAACCACCCAGATCGTGGATGAAGCTTGCAATTCTCTGTTCACAAAAACGACACTCCAGATCCCTCAAAGTTTGTTGAAGGAGTCCCTAAAGGTTTATCTTAAAGCACCTTTCCAAATTCCAAACACGGATAAAGGGAACGCGATCGCAGAGGTGCAGTCTTGGATGCTCTTCGATATCTTAGTCGCTCCGTCAGATCTCGGGGCCGGGTCTTTTCATTGCTTGAGCTTGGGGCGGCTTAGGGGTCCCGCTTCGTGTTCTGGGCATGAGACTGTAGGCTTGGGGTGAAGTTGAGGGCTTGGAGTTGTTTTTGGGGTTTAGGGTTCAAGGCTTTGGGTTCGGTTTGGGGCTCTGCTGTCCGCGCAGCGGCCGTGCCAGCTTCGTGCACCCCACATTATGGGTGTGTGGGTAGCTGCAAACTTTGCGTCGAGGCTTCCTTGCGAAGGGCGACGGAGTGATATCGGAAGTTCTTTCTGCCCGCCGTTGTGACGATACCGCCGGCATCCACCTACCCTAAACCCTAAACCCCCAAAGCCCTAAAACCCTAAACCCCTAAACCCTAAACCCTAAACCCCCTAAACCCTGAACCCCTAAACCCCTAAACCCCTAAACCCTCAACCGGTCGTTAAATTCGAGGGCCTACGCCCCGTCTGTCCTCTCCTCTCCTGTTCACCACGAGACCTCGGAAAACTTCCGATGCACTACTTAGAGGATCATGAATCATGGGACTTGGTAACTAGGGATCTATAAGGGTTACTATTAAGGGTTCCATATGGGTTTGGAGGGTACTTAGAGGATCATGGGACTTAGTAACTAGTGTTTCCTTAAAGGGCTCCTTTAAGGTTTTGGGGGTATTTAGAGGATCATGGGACTTAGTAACTAGGGTTCCCTTAAAGGGCTCCTTTAAGGGATCTACAATTAAGGGCTCTATATGGGTTTTGGGGGAAATTAGAGGATCATGGGAGTCAGTTACTAGTAACTAGGGTCCCTTTCAAGGGTTCCGTTAAGGGATCTATAAGGGTTACTATTAAGGGTTCCATATGGGTTTGGAGGGTACTTAGAGGATCATGGAACTTAGTAACTAGGGTTCCCTTAAAGGGCTCGTTTAAGGGATCTACAATTAAGGGCTCTATATGGTTTTTGGGGGGAATTAGAGGATCATGGGACTTAGTAGTAAAGGTTAAAATTAAGGTAACTATATTCATAGCTACTTATAACCCCAATTAAGGTACTTATGAACTTACTTACTAAGTCCCATGATCCTCCAAGTAGCAGCAGGGTTGGCTTGAACAGATCTGTCGAAGCTTACCCGACGAGCAACGGCTTGGAGAAAGCATGAATGCTTCACCTCAAGTAACCGCCGTACGCTTTTGAATGCCCCGAACATACATGGGTACGTGTACCTTTGTTGGCATCTTGGCCACTCTTAGGTAAAGTTCTCCCTTAAGGGGTTTTTCTTTGGAAGGCGGTGGGCAATGAGGCTCCGTAGAGGAGCCTTCAAAAACTCCAGCCGAAAACCGCAGACAGCCACCTCAGAACCTTATGAAGCCCACCCTAAACTCTGAACCCCTAAACCCACATAAGACATCATAAGACTCCATCCTCACACCCTGCCTCGGTCAGTGAGGTTCTCACGCCGGATATCTTCACTATGGTCGGCGAAGCTTTGCGGCAAGCCTTGTAATATAGGGGCCTGAATCAATAGAATAAGGTTTTGGGGTATATCATATTACAATTAGAATAAGGAACCCGCAAACCCCTATTTTAATTGTTAAGGCCACTACAGTACACATTGTTGTTGTTGTTGCTGCTGCTGCTGCTGTTGTTGTTGTTTGCGATTACAAGGCCCTTTAGGGGTTCTGTTTGGTGTTTAGGTTTCAGGCCCTAGCGGCCCGTAAATAGGAGTATCCGCAAAATTAAAGGGATTTGATCTTTACATATATTTCTCGGTATGCAGCTAAATTAAGGTGTCGCGACTGTAAGGCTGTAAGGGTACTATAAGGGTACTATAGGGGTACTATGAGGGTACTATGAGGGTACTGAGAGTGCTATAAGACTATTCAGGGTACTACTGGTAGCAGAACCCGAAAGTCAAAACACCCTTACCGGTAGCCCTACACTGTTCATTTTATGGCACATACTATAAGACAGTATGACGTAGTATAGTACACTATAATATGATATACACTACAACATGGTGATACGGTTGATGATATAAATCCTGCATGACCCATAATAAGGAATATACCATTATTCCCATAGTTTAGGGTCATTAAGGTACTGCAGGATTTATATCATCAGCCGTATAACCCCGGCTCGCAGGTGAATCCTAAAGCCCTGCACTGCCTGGAGATCGGTTTAGGGAAACAGGCTTTCTATTGTTGCCATGCGAGCACTACAACCTACAAGGATATTATAAGGGCACTGTAAGACTTTAGGGTGTTAGCATGTCGAGTTTCTGATGTCCGGTTTGGTGTAGATTGGACGAGCCTCCATTCCCGAACTGTTTGAGCTTGCATTCAGGAGTTCACGCGCTCCGATGTCGGTGCCGCCGACCAGGCGAGAATCGAACTTGCGAAGACCCCCTAAATGAAGAAGGAAGCCCCTGCACTTTGCCACAGGAAACCCGACACCCCTAAACCCCTAAACCCCTAAACCCTAAACCTCTAAGCCTCTAAACCCTATACCCTAACCCGAAACCCCTAAACTCCCAGACCCTAAACCCCTAAACCCAAAACCCTAAACCCCTAAACCCCTAAACCCCTAAACCGAAAACGAGCCTCATTAAGCAGACCCACCATGACCTGGGCCCGGAACAATTCAGCGGGGTTCGTAAGGACCGTTGTTTGTCGGTTTAGAAGAGAGTTGCGGCGTTTCTCGCAAGCTTTGACGGGGTTGAGTGAGAGAGTATGGGTGGTAGTCGGGGAGTCGGAAAATTAGTTGTTAGTTAGTCGTCGTATCCACTTGTCGTCCCTATAGAATCAGAGACTCCAATATCCCTTAATTAAGGAATATACCTTAAATTATACTAGGATCCCTAATATGATTTAAGGAATATTCCTTAATTAAGGGATATTGGAGTCTCTGGGGAATCAGAGTAGAAGCTACCTCGAAACCCATTCCCCAAACTCAAGCCCTCCAAAGCTTCATCCCTCGTCCCCCAAAGAAGCATACTAGAAGATACCCCACAACCCGTCCCCAAAACCCTCCAAAGCCTTAACCCAGAAATCCTAAGCCCCCCTACACTTAGGGGTACTTAGAAATAGTTTTTAATTTTTGGTTATTATAATCCCTAAGATACAGCTACAATTATGATTTTTGCTAGGGTTCTAAGTTCAGTATAGTACAGTTTCAGGTGCCAAAGAGCCGGATCTCTTGGAGGAGCCCTTGAAGGAACCCATATGGGTGGTTGTCAATTTTTATGGTCCCTCTTTGGGTCCCTAGCATAATACGGCACCTATTATTTAGGGTACCCAAAAAGGGACCATAATTTTGACAACCACCCATATCGATTCCTTCTAGGTCCCTGAAAGGATCCCTCAAGGGAGCCCGAATCCTTGTAGATCCCTTAAACCAGCAAGGAGGGTTTCAGGACGCTTGCTCGGGACTCCTGGTTTTTTTGAGTGGTGAAAGAAGATGGGTTCTGCGTTTTGGGGGTTTTCCGGGTCACAGAGCTTCTAGGATTTCTGGCATAGTCTTGGCATCGCTTCCTCAGGGCTTCAGGCGTAAATGGAATTTGTTGGGAGCTTCTCGAGCGCAGCCTCGATGCTGCGGAATATAGTTTAGGCTAGCTTAATGTAGGCTGGTAAGAAACCCCGGGCCTTCCTTAGGGTTCCTTTAAAGGGGTCTATAAGGGTTACTATAAGGGATCTTTAGAGGTAGTATGATAGTGTAGGATAATATGATGTCTATCGAATCATGGGGACCCTGAGAGGGGTAGGGGGCCTTAACGCCCATAATAAGGACCTAATAAGGCCTATTTGAAGAAATATAGTCCACGAAGCCCCTCCCCCTACCACCCCAAGATTCCCTATGATGGAAGTCCGCGGAATGAACCCTCCACCCCTCGTTCCAATTCTGAACTGCTTCTCATTCAGGTTCCGCTCACGAAGTCTTCACGGTTTGGTGTTTATGGTTCTGTGTGTGTGGGTGTCAGTGGGTGTGTGTATGCCTGTGTGTGTACAGAGACAGAGATAGGGAGAGAGAGAGGTAGATGCCCATGTATATGTGTATACACACACACACACGTAGAGGTGCACATAATATATATATATATACATACATACATACACATATATATATATATATATAGAGCACATAGAATGTGAAGTAACTCAGTTGCAAGACCCAAGAGCTTCTCGAACACAGGTGGGCATCGTCCGCGCCGTGCGCGCCGGGCGCCTCTTACGGTTTCCTGGCGGACGGCTTTATTTTACTTAGATAGTGAACGGGGGAACTTTAAACTTTTTGGCTTTATATATTAGCTCCATCTTGGAAAGTTTGAGCTTTTTGGGGCCCGGTTGTTGAAGAAGCGAGTTTAGGGTACCCAGGGCTCGGAGTTGAGGGTTGAAGGATTCTTTCCCTTTAAGGCTTCCTTGTAAGGGTTCCTTCTAAGGGTTCCTTCAAGGGATCTATGAGGGCTCGTTGAAGGGATCTATAAGGGTTCCTTTAAGGGTTCCATCAAGAGTGCCCGGGGTTTAGGGTTTCGGATTTGGGTTCAAGGATTCCTTCCTTCAAGGGTTCTATTAAGGGTCCACGTTAAGGACTCCTTTAAGGGTTCCCTTCAGGGCCGCAGCAAGGGTCCCAAGAATCGTAAGGATTAGGATCTCTGAGGCTTGGAATTTCGGTTTCAGGATTGAAGGGTCAGGGTTTAGGAGCCGAAAGGGGATTCGTGTGGATTCGGAGGGTGAGGGTTTAGGGGTTAGGGTTTAGGGGTTTAGGGGTTTCGGGGTGTAGGGTTTAGGGGTTTGGGGCTTTGGGTTCTTCGTGAGAACAGCGTTTGCAGGGTTGGGCAGAATCTTTAGTCGACGCAGAACCAAAACCGATAAGTAAAGGACATGTCACGCAGAAGCGATCACCATCAAGAGGCAGCAGTCCTGATAAGAGAACCCTTAAAGGAGACCGGTTCTACTTATTACGGCGCCTAGAATAGTCTTATCCAAGCCCGCATGTCAGGCTCCTTCGAATTCTCAGATTGCTGCGGATTGCCAAGCTGCTGAAGGCGCCTTTGTACTCTTTGACGGGGTCCATCGTGAGGAATCGGTTGATGATATAAATCCTGCATTACCTTAAAGACCCCAAACTGTGGGAATTATGGTATATTCCCTGTTATGGGTCATGCAAGATTTATATCATCAGGCGAATACGCCGCAATTCCTGTTTTGGTATAGTTTAGTCGACTCGAGGTAGTGCAAGGTGTTGCCCACCAGCAGTATTGAACAATCCGATCCTAAAACCGTAAACCCTAAACCCTAAACCCCTAGCCTAGACCCTAAACCCTATAAACCCCACACACCCTAAACTCCTAAAGCAGCGTTGAACTGTCGGCAGAAGCACCAAACACGGCAACTCGCCAGGGCAGAGGAGGAGAAAGGGTCGTGGTCTGCCTGGGTTGCGCCGAACATACCTGCTGCTACTATAGGGGCCTTATACCTAGAATGAGGTTCCTTTAAGGGGTTCCGTTAAAAGGGTACTCTAAGGGTTACTCTCGGCGTAATATGATAGAGGGTCCGTATATTACCTATACTATTTTGGTGGTTCCTTACTACAATTATAGTATAATGGGCCCCAGAAGCTTATTCTGGTTATCAAGGCACGTATATTACTGCCCTTTTTTTGGAGTCGCACCTTCAACCCTGAAGCCCAAACCTTAAAGGAAAGAAGGGTTGGGGGGACCTATTTGGAGAGGCTGCTAATGGAAGAGAGCTTATCCTGCTCCAGGGGTTTGGGGTTTCACGCTTATGGATCCAAAACACATACAACTTGAAAAGTATTCCCCCCTCAAGCTATGGATCCACAGCCTACTTTGTTTTAGGGCTTGGGGCGATAGGTATTTCAATAATGAACCACCCCCACATAGCTGGGTTATTTACTATAGATGCCCATTATGGTAACTTAAATGAAACCCGTTAACAACAACCCCAAAGAAACCCTAAGTGATGATGGGCTTCAGTCGGATTCCGAGACTACGGCATCCTTGAATTTTTGCCAGGGCCGGTTTTGGTTTAGGGTTTTAGGGTTTATAGGGTTTAGGGTTTATTAATATAGGGTTTAGGGTTCGGGGTTCAGGGTTTATAGGGTTTAGGGTTTATAAACATAGGGTTTAGGTTTTAAGGTTCGGGATTTAGGGTTTATAGGGTTTATAGGGTTTAGGGTTTACGGTTTGGCGTTTAGGGTGGAACACGCAATCCGAAACCTTAGTGTAAGGAAGCCCACCCGCTGCACAGGTTTTGAACGCCTTGAAAGCCCAGGTCCGTCGATCTGTGCTGTTCGATTTCGGATATTGGGGGAAAGGGATTCGATGACTATAGCGGTTAATGATTAGAATTGGGGCCGATTGTACCCCCCCAAAAAGAAACGCTATAGCAAGGGTATTAGGAACTTTGGTTTGGGACTGGGTGGGTAGCCTTTCAGATTTTCTGGTTCATGCAATCACTTTACTAGAATTGCAGAGATGAAGGCAGGGTTTGGGGCTTTAGGTTTAAGGGATTTCGGGTTTCAGGATTGTGGGATTGAGTTTCTGGGTTCTTGTTAAGGGGTTTTATATAATTAAGTTACCATAATATGAAACCATTTACCCTAAACCCTAAACCCCTAGACCCGATTATGGTAACTTAAATTCCTCAACACGAACCCAGGGTTGGGAGGTTCCTTCTTGGGGTTCAGGAATTGCATCCAGCCGGTTCAAGTGTTTTGGGCTGAGCGGTTCAGGTTGTTTTCTTTTGGGCTTTGTGCTTTGGGCTTAGGATTTTGGGTTCTTGGCTTACGGTTTGAGGTTGAGGTTGGGGTTTAGGGTTTAGGGTTGGGGATGTGCACAGAACCTGCGGGAACGGACCTTGTTTTCCATCGCTGGGGGCGGGGCAACCAAGTTCGGGAGTCCGGGGTCAAACTGCACGCGAAGTCCCACTGCAAGACTGCCCAGCCCCAACTTGTAGTCGTTGAGGGCTCTATGGGTTGACTGGACTGGACTATCCCTGACAAGATCCTGGCACTGTCCGATTGTGGCACCCGTATTTGTCTTTGCATGTGTGTGTGTACGTCTGTCTATTCTTTTGGTGTTCAGTTAGATCCTGCCTGTGCCACATATCTATAGATGCATAGGCATACCCTAAACCCTAAACCCCTAAGAAACCCTAAACCCTAACTCCTGAAACCCCTAAACCCTAAACCCCTAAGCCCCTAAGCCCCTAAACCCCCAACTCGGGTCGTGAACACCTAAACTGGCCTATAGAGTTTACTATAGGGACCTCAATCACTAGAACCCAGAGACTCCAATATCCCTTAATTAAGGAATATACCTTAAATTATAGTAGGATCCTTAATATGATTTAAGGAATATTCCCTAATTAAGGAATATTGGAGTCTCTGGGAATAGGGTTTCGGGGTACATCATACTCTACTTAAAGGGTCATGGGACCTAGTAACTCGGGTTATTAATTGAGGTAGCTATGCTTATAACCCCAATGAAGGTACTTATAACCTTACCTACTAAGTCCCATGATCCTCCAAGTAATATAATCAGGAACCCAAAGGTACCGGTAATTGGAATGGAGAGTGTCGTTGTTTTTTCAGGTTCGGGTTGGCAAGGTTGGTCCGGTCCAGGGTTGAGAGTTTTAGGGTTTAGGTTCAGGGCTTTCGGGTTGTAGGGTTTTCGGTTTAGGGTTTTAGGGTTTAGGTTTTAAGGGTTTTAGGGTTTAGGTTTTAAGGGTTTTAGGGTTTAGGTTTTAAGGGTTTTAGGGTTTAGGGTTTAGGGTCTATGGGTCTGAAGATGTAGGACTAGGGGTTTATAGGGTTTTAGGGTTTCAAGGTTTTAGGGCGTTGCAGACTTTCGGGGCCGGCCGGAGGTCAACAATGCCCTGCTATTCCTTGCGCTGAGCATCGCGACGCCTGTCTGAACATGGGGGTTATGGTTCACTTAGAGGGTCAGGGGAAATAGTAAGGGTTCTTAAAGGTCTCCTTCAAAAGGATCTATAGGGTTCCTTGAAGGGATCTATGGGGTTTAGGGTTCAGGGTCTACTTAGACAGAGGCCTAGGGGACATAGTAAGTAGGTTACAAGTAGAGAAATAAGTCTGCTAAGCGGAGTTGCCCAATCATAGCCCTACGTATGAGCCTCCAAGCAATGTTTTCAGAACTCTCCCATCCCTGCTTAACCTGGGTGAATGTTGTGTTATGTACACAAGGGGGACCATGATACATGTGTTCAGCATTTTTTGCTCTATGGTTTTAGACAGTGTGGAGTCGAATCAACCCCGGACCCACGGTAGATCCCAAACTTACTTTTGGCTAGTAGGGAATGGAGGAATGGGGTACAATTATAACTACGATTACTACCATTCTTCCATTCTCTACTAACCAAAGGTAAGTAAAGTCTAAGCGCCCCGAAGGAAGTTTGGGTTCCTCGTCCTGTACATGGGCCACGTCCTGGCTTGCCTCTGGTTCGCTGTGGGCGATGTGGAGGCGATGTTTGGGATGGGGAGGGTCTAGGTCCCAAGAAGCCCTCCTTGAAGGCTTCCGTTTAAGGAGTCCGTGTCCGAGTTCTAGGAAGGGTTCCTAAACCTTAACCCCTAAACCCTAAACCCTAAACCCTCAACCCCTAAACCCCTAAGCCCCTAACCCCTAAACCCTAAACCCCTAAACCCCTAAGCCCCTAACCCCTAAACCCTAAACCCCTAAACCCCTAAACCCCTAAGCCCCTTAGCCCCTAAACCCTAAACCCCTAAACCCCTAAGCCCCTAAGCCCTAAACCCTAAACCCCTAAGCCCCTAAGCCCTAAACCCTAAACCCTAAACCCTACACCGTTAAGTCAGGGTTTAGGGCCGGGCTCGGGTTCTGGGGTTGCAGTGGCGTCAGGTTGAGGGGGCAGGTTTCAAGTTTGGGTTTAGGGCTTAGGGCTTAGGGTTTAGGGTTTACGGTTTAGGGTTTAGGGTTTAGGGTTTAGGGTTTCAAGTTTGGGGGTGTCCGGGTCCGCTGTGCTGTTGTGCTCAAAATGCCCTCGCCGCAGGCCTCCAGATGTTTCGTGGAACTTGATGGCGAAGACTTGTTTGGGGTTCAATATAGTGCCCGTCATTAAAGGATCATGGGACTTACTAACTAGGGTTATAAGTAAGGTAACTGTACTTATAACCCCAATTAAGGCACTTATGAACTTACTTACTAAGTCCCGTACATCCCTTATAGTACCCTTATATATCCCTCTAAGGAGCCCTTTAAGGAGCCCTTTATATAACCTTACTTACTAAGTCCCATGATCCTCCAAGTAGACTCGGGCTTGTGGGTCCATCATGCGATGATCAAAGAGCGAGTAGAAAGGGGTTCCCAGACGAAAGCTGTGGTTTTAGGGTTTTTAGGGTTTAGGGTTTAGGGTTTTAGGGTTTTAGGGTTTAGGGGTTAGGGTTTAGGGGTTCGTTGGTAATTTTGTAGAGTTGGCACAGCCTGGGTAGAAAGCTGGACCATTCCGCACTAGGAAGCTCAAATAAGGCAGGAGGAAGAGCAGAAGAAGCTGGCTATGGGCTCAGGGTTTTGGGGTTTTGGGGTTGTCGAAGAAACCAAGACGGTATAGCACAAGCAGGAAGCTGCCAACCCCACGGACGATAGACCCTGCCTCCTCAAGCCTGCTATAATTTGTGACGTACCACCAAGACCCGGTTCCAAGGCTTCTAAGCGCTAAACGCTATTATAGCCCTTATTATTATTATTAGTATTATTATTATGGAACCGTTGAACTTGATCTAACAGGATGGCTGGGTGACGGAGAAAGACCTTGTCAGCCAATCTTTCGGAACGCAGTTCCTTGCCTCTAACTCTGGAGACTGTGCGCGCCTTGGGATAAAGGGGTCGGGCTTCCAGAGTTGGGCCTTGCAGAGTTGGGGGATCGACAGTTTAGAGCTGAGGGCTTAGAGTTTGGAGTCTCGGGTTTCCAAAGAGCTTAGGGGCCTCTAGAGGTTTCAGACTAAATTCTGCACGCTAACACCAAGAACCGTGACTTTTATCGGCACATCATAATAAGGAACCCCAGCGAGGTAGGGCTCGTGGGTTCAGGTAAACCGGAAACCATGCGCGGTTGAGGAGTTCAAAAGTTTTGACCTTGCATGGAAACATAAACAGTCGGATCCTTATCACGAAGACTTCCCTTGAAGGAGCCCCCAAGTTTTCGGAGCACCCTATGTCATACTGCAGGCAAAGAACTTGGTAGGGTCCGGCCTCCATTCTAGCGAAAGATTGCCACTTTGGAGTATGGAGAACCCTAAACCCTAAACCCTAAACCTTTAACCCTAAACCCTAAACCCAAAACCTTAAACCTTAAACCCTAAACCCTAAACCCTAAACCCTATACCCTATACCCTAAACCTTAAACCCTAAACCCTAAACCCTAAACCTCTCTACCTATAGTAATTTAAACCTTATAGTCATTCGTGGCTCTTGGTCATAACTCGTGGCTCTTGGTCATAACTCGTGGCTCTTGGTCATAACTCGTGGCTCTTGGTCATAACTCGTGGCTCTTGGTCATAACTCGTGGCTCTTGGTCATAACTCGTGACTCTTGGTCATAACACGTGGCTCTTGGTCATATCTCGTGGCTCTTGGTCATAACTCGTGGCTCTTGGTCATCCCCCTAGGGTTTAGGGCCTAGGGTTTGGGCCCTAGGGTTTAGCGCTTAGGGTTTAGGCCCTAGGGTTTAGGGCCTAGGGTTTGGGCGCTAGGGTTTAGGGCCTAGGGTTTGGGCGCTAGGGTTTAGGGCCTAGGGCTTAGGGCCTAGGGTTTGGGCCTTAGGGTTTAGGCTGTAGCGTTTAGGGCATAGGGTTTAGGGCCTAGGGTTTGGGCCGTAGGGTTTAGGGCCTAGGGTTTGGGCACTAGGGTTTAGGGCCTAGGGTTTGGGCACTAGGGTTTAGGGTGTTAGGTTTGCATGGTAGCGGCCTGGGGTTTAGGGGCCCAGTGTGTAGCGGCCCAGGGTTAAGTGTGCAGCGGCCTAGGGCTTAGCTGGTATTAACCAGCGAAGCATAGTTGAACCCAAAACTTGCCAAACGTTCGCTCTGGCATCAACCAGCGACGCATAGTTGAACCCAAAACTTGCCAAACTTTCGCTCTGGTATCAACCAGCGAAGCATAGTTGAACCCAAAACTTGCCAAACTTTCGCTCTGGTATCAATCAGCGAAGCATAGTTGAACCCAAAACTTGCCAAACTTTTGCTCTGGTATCAACCAGCGAAGCATGGTTGAACCCAAAACTTCCCAAACTTTCGCTCTGGTATCAACCAGGGACGCATAGTTGAACCCAAAACTTGCCAAACTTTCGCTCTGGTATCAACCAGCGAAGCATAGTTGAACCCAAAACTTGCCAAGCTCTCGCTCTGGCATCAAGCAGCGAAGCATAGTTGAACCCAAAACTTGCCAAACTTTCGCTCTGGTATCAATCAGCGAAGCATAGTTGAACCCAAAACTTGCCAAACTTTTGCTCTGGTACCAACCAGCGAAGCATGGTTGAACCCAAAACTTGCCAAACTTTCGCTCTGGTATCAACCAGGGACGCATATTTGAACCCAAAACTTGCCAAACTTTCGCTCTGGTATCAACCAGTGAAGCATAGTTGAACCCAAAACTTGCCAAACTCTCGCTCTGGCATCAAGCAGCGAAGCATAGTTGAACCCATAAAGCGATGGCGTGACCGCAGCCTCAACTGTTCGAGGCAATGCTTTCTGTCTTGAAAGTGGATGCATAGCAGTGGACACAGTCCGATGTGGAAACATTGAAAGACATGAAATCGAATTCGATAGCTCTGGTTGCTATCGTAAAGCGGTGGCGTGACCGCAGCCTCAGCTGTTTGAAGCAATATCTTCCTGCTACAGTCGGTGCATAGCAGTAGACGGAGTCCGATGTGAAAACATTGAAAGACATGAAATCGAATTCCACGGCTGTAGCTGCTATGCCAAACACAAACTGTATTAAATTCCCGGAGTTGTATGTAAGTTAACATTTGGGAATTCATGCCAAAAGAAATAGAACTTTTAATTCTAATGTGAGGTCTGGGCGGGTGGGGTTTCTTCTTGAAGATAGCTTGACAAAACAAGTTTGACGTGAAATCTTCAAAGTCAGAGCTGCTGAACCCTAAACCCTAAACCTTAAACCCTAAAGCCTAAACCCTAAACCCTGAGCCCCAGCCCCGAGGTTCTAATCTCTAAGACCCTGTAAAACCCCGAGCACCTAAAACCCTCAGCCATCCGAGAGCCCGTGTACTATAGTGGCCTAAATAATTACCTATAATATTCTGGGGGTTCCTTATTATAATCATAGTATAAGGGGCCCCAAAACCATATTCTAATTATTAAGGCCCCTATATTACCCGGACCATGATCAGGAGCTGAGGGTTCAGGATGTAGGATTCAGGGTTTAGGTGATCGCTTAATCATGTAGGACCTAGTAGTAGGGGCTCTACATCGACCACCGGCCATTCAATCTTTGTGTTTCTAGGTTCCGCGTTAGTTTCAAAGTGGGTAATCATTCAAATGTCATGTCTCAATAGCCTTCCTACATTCCTTCAGTCCACTCTGTTAAGCAGTGTGCCTCAGAAGTCCTTCTAGTATAGACGCATCCCTCAAGCTGATGCCATAAAGCGCTTTAGGTGGGAGGTTTAGGTCTGAGGGTTCCTTTAAAGGAACCCGAAACCCCTAAACTCCCCTAAACCCTTAAAAAGGAAAACTAAAGCCCTAAACCCCCAGCCCCCTAAGGGCTGCGGGTTTAGGCCTAAGAGAGCCTGTATTAGGTTCTTAAAAAAGCTCTACAAGGGTTCTATTTGGGAGTTTCCGAAAATTAGTAGTGGTACCTCCTTACAAAAAGTCCTACTATTTCGGGTGCCAAATTAGGGTCCCCAATTTCGGAAACTCCCGCTTGGGATCCACAAGGGTCGTGTACCATAGTTGGCCTGAGTAATTGGTACCTAATGTTCTTATAGACTTATAGCCTACTCTCAAGTTTGGGTCCAGTGTGCTTGTAGGGTTGTTTTGTCTGACATCGGTTTTGAGCATCTCTATATGCAGGGCTTAAGGGCTTGAGCGCATGAGAAGTTTTCGGGTTGTTAGCTTTGTGTAGTTTTTTAGCTTTACGGCTCCAGGGTTTTGGAGTTCAAAGGTTGAGGCCGAATTGCTTCAAGAAAAGAGTAGCTCATACTCTTCGTTCATGGCAGTTCAACCAACTTTGTGCTTAGCAGATGCCCGTACCAAGACGAGGGCGCCCAGGCACTCAGCCTCGACGCATGGACAGCCGCCTGCCACGGATCATCGAACCATTGGTTTCCAAGTTTTCTATAAGCGCGGTTTCTGTACTAAGAGGATCATGGGAGATAGTAACTAGGGCTATAATTGCGGTAACTATACTTATAACTACTTATAACCCCATTTAACCTTAGTTACTACGTCCCATACATCCCTCATAGTACCCTTTAGATCCCTTTAAGGATCCCTTTGAGGAGCCCTTTAAGGAGCCTTTTATATAACATTAGTTACTAACTCCCATGATCCTCTTAAGTAGAGCTTGCAGCATGGCGGGACCCCCGTGTTTTTTTTTTGCCTGTTTGCCGGGCTTTCGTCGAGTTTAGGACTGCCAAGGCTAACGTTGCCATGTGGGTGGTTGTCAATATTAGGGTCCCTTTTTGGGTCCGCATTATAATTTTGATAACCATCCATGTGCTGGCCTTGAGTTGAGATCTCAAAGGTGTGAGACGCAGGGTACGACTGCGCAGACCAAATTATGCAACATGTCGACATGGGCCTGCGTTTATTTCACGTCGGAATCCGCCTCACCGGCTTCCTGCAGCCCGAAGCCCAACTGGTAGTTTCTACTTCATTGATTTGTTTATTCCTCAGGTCTCCGTTCATTTAGTTGTACAAAACCACACCACAACCTTCTCTGAGTATTACCAAGTTTGCAGTATTGCCTAAGTTCCCTAGAGGATGCCAGACCTTGTGCTGGTGTCTGGAACAGACTTTGCTAAGCTGCTGCGTGCGGAGCTTGGTCGTCGTGTGCGCAGGAACCTTACGTTAGTGGAACCCCGCGCTCCTTCAGACTGGTGGATTTTGGATGGCCGGCGGAGTTGGTTGTGACAGCGCATGGCGGTACCCGGACAGGGTTTCCAGCCTAGGTCCTGTGCAGATATGTCGCGATCTGAAGCAAACACTTGTCGCTGCATGTGGAACCTCCATGCCAACAGGGTAGATCCACTCAGGGGCGCTGTAAGTTTGGCTTTACGGGATCTGCATGAAAACTGCTTGAGCTTTGGGCTTTCGGGTTTCGGGTCACGGATTTGACTTGTTCTGTGCTGCTCATGACTTGATACGGCGGTTTGAAAGTGTAATTACTTCAAGCAATGCAGGTTTGGTTGTCCTCTGGGATCTTTTTCATTTACCCTACTATTTTGTAGAGAACCGTAATAGTGAATACTTTTCAAAGGGCTTAAAGGACAACTCAGTAGGGGCAATTCCCAGGTTTCCTGACAGAAGAGGGCCCAAAGTCAGCGCAGAAACCATGAACCTCCAAACCGTATACCCTCACCAGAAACAACAAGCCCCAAACCGTATACCCTCACCCACACCTTAAGCCCTAAACCCTACCTAAACCCCTGAACCCTAAACCCTACCTAAGCCCCGAAACCCTTCAACCCCTAAACACCTAAACCCTAAACCCATAAACCCTATAAGCCTGAATCGCAATGAAGACCCTGAACATCTTCGGGGTCGGCCCGTCAACCAATTGTCGTCCCAGTGAACAGGGCACAATCGGGAGGTATGCGCTTACTCCGTCAATAATGGGTTTATGGTCAATAGGGGGTTAGGGGTGTAGGGTTTAGGAGTTTAGGGATTTAGGGGTTTAGGGGTTTAGGGGTTTAAGTGTTCAGGGGTTTAGGGGTTTACGGTCTAGAGTTTCCAGGGTTTAGGCGTTTAGGGGTTTGAGGTTCAGGCTTAGGGGTCTTGCTGACTAGAGTAGGGTGTTGTGTTTCGAAAGCTTAAGTATGTGGGGAGTTTGGGGGTTTGTGGCCAACTTTATCTTTATCCCTAAACCCTAAACCCTAAACCCTAAACCCTAAACCCTAAACCCTAAACCCTAAACCCTAAACCCTAAACCCTTCAGCAGCCTTCAGAGACTCAGCGGTTTAGGATTTAGGGTTTCGGTCGTTTTCATGCCCTTTCTCTCTCTGGGCCTTTCACGGGTTTGGCTGGGCTCGCAAGAATCGCCGAGGTATCTCGAAGCGGTGCAGCACCTTGGCTTTCAAGCTAAAGCTGCGTGTGTGCAGCAGCAAGAGTAATCGTAGTTACCATAGTTCTGATAGCAATGGCTGCAAGTCGAGTCATCCTGGTCATGATGCAGCAGTCATGGCAGACATAATAGTACCAGTCATTCTCGTGACGGTACTTTGCATACAGGTTAGTGTTTTCGCAGCCCTCATACATGCAGCCATTATAGTCAGTATGCATTCACCTCCAGCATGGTCGTCGGAACGCCTGGGCACCCAGCGTCTCTATTCTCCAACAGCCCCCCAAACCCTGTACAGAACTGAGCCTAAACCCCTAAACCCCTAGCCCCCCTAACCCTAAAGCAGAAACCCTAAACCCAAAACCCCAAAACCCCTTCTTAGAGGATCATGGGACTTAGTAAGAAGGCTATAATTGGGGTTATAAGTCCCCTAAGTGGGGTTATCCTAGTTCTAACCTACTTATAGCCATACTTACTACGTCCCATGATCCTCCCAGTAAACTACGCAGAGCCTCCAATACCCCTTAATTACGGAACATACCTTAAATCATAGTAGGATCCCTAATATAGTTTAAGGTATATTCCTTAATTAAGGGGTTTTGGAGTCAACTAAACCCTAAACCCTAAACCCTAAACCCCTAAACCCTAAACCCTAAACCCTAAACCCTAAACCCTAAACCCTAAACCCCTAAACCCTAAACCCTAAACCCTAAACCCTAAAACCCTAACGCGCCAAGCTCGCACGAGGTGGGCCCTGAGCCGAGTGCCCTTGTCGATGATGCAGCAGACGCCTGGTCGAAGAAGATGGGACTTAGTAAGCTCCTTTAAAGGGCTCCTTAAAAAAATCCTTAAAGGGTTCCCTTAAAGGGATCTATGAAGGATCATGGGACTTCGTAAGGTCATATAAAGGGCTCCTTAAAGGGATCTATAAGGGTACTTTTTGAGGGATGTATGGGACTGATGGGCTAAAAGACCAACCCTAAACCCTAAACCCTAATAATTAGGTGGTTGTTAATATTAGGGTCCCTTTTTGGGAAGGATGGGCCAAAAGACTAGGACCCAGAGTAGGCCATTATTCCCTTTTTAGGGTTTAGGTTCCCTTATAACCGTCTTTAAACCAAAAAGGGCACCCTTTTTGCTCCTAGGTGACTCTTGGGTCTAGAAGACCCAATAATTGGGTGGTTGTTGTCAATATTAGGGTCCCTTTTTGGGTCCCTATTATAATACGGCACCTCATATTGAGGGTACCCCAAATGGGGCCATAATTTTGACAACCACCCAACTAGGTACCCGGGTTTAGGACAGTAGGTATGTAGGCTTCTATTTGGAGAGCAGCGGTTTGGTGGCCCTCCGGGCCGTACAGGGTTCTTCGGGTTGGGTTTCCCTACACCCTACACCCTACAAACCCTCAAACCCTAACAACCCAAAAGCCCTTGACCTCCTCTTGGTCAGTTTTTTCACCCTAAGCCCTAAACCCTAAACCCTAACCCCTAAACCCTAAGCCCTAAACCCTAAACCCTAAATCCTAAACCCCTAAACCCCTCAACCCCTAAACTCTAAGCCCTAAACCCTAAATCCTAAACCCCTAAAAACCCCTAAGCCTCTAAACCCCTAAACTCTAAACCCTAAATCCTAAACCCCTAAAAACCCCTAAACCCCTAAACTCTAAGGTTTTTTTTTTCAGGTTCGTTTGGCGTCTTGGGTAGGTCCGCTCGGCGGTCCGGGGTTGACTTAGGGACCCCAAGAAGCACATAAGCATAAGCATTTGATAGGGTTTAGGGTTTAGGGTTTAGGGTTTAGGGTTTAGGGTTTAGGGATATCCCTACCTTCTTGGGCTTCATTCTAACGGGGTTTATATGGGTAATTCCTAATTTCTATTTGGCTTTTTTGGGCCCTATTTATGGCTTTAGGGCTTATGGAGGGTGGTTGGGACTTAAGGGGGTGATGGGTTTTTAGGGGTCGCCGCCCCTGAGGTTTTAGGTCTCACGGAGTCGATGTTGGGTTGACACCTTGGCTTGAACTTGGTTCGTCTCACCCTAAACCCTAAACCCTAAACCCGAAACCCTAAACCCTAATTTGAAGTTCAGTCTGTGCTAGCATGTTTGCGAATATCGCCGTTGTCACGGGTATAGTACATAGCTACAAAGACAAAAAAGGTCAACATTGCCTGTAGACAAGAGCCTGTCACTGTGAGACCTTGCCCAAACCCTGAACCTTAGGGGTACTTAGATTTTTCAGTTTTTTGTTATTATAACCCCTAAGAAACAGCTAAAATTATATTTTTGCTAGGGTTCTAAGTTCGGTAAAGAAACCCTAAACCTTAAACTCTAAAGCTTAAACCGTAGGGGGCCCTCAATAGCACTTCTAAGCTTAAAAGAATCTGCCCTGTACGTGCGTTCTGACTGCGACGCAGTGCTCAAGTCCCAACCCTAGAACCCTGAAGCCCTACACCCTAAAGGCCCTTCATCATAATAGTTATACGAAGAACCAGAATCAGTTCATAGCAACAATACCAAGAATAAAACCCTAAGCCCTAAAGCCCTGCTTAGAGGATCATGGGACTTAGTAGCTAGGGTGATAACTACGGTAACTATTCTCATAACTACTTATAACCCCAACTAAGGTACCTATAACCTTACTTACTAAGTCCCATACATCCCTTATAGATCCCTCTAAAGATCCCTTTAAGGAGCCCTTTATATAACCTTACTGACTAAGTCCCATGATCCTTTATAGATCCCTTTAAGGAACCCTTTAAGGATTTTTCTAAGGAGCCCTTTAAAGGACCTTACTAAGTCCCATGATCCTCTAAGTGAGCGGCTACAGCAGACCCGAAGCCCTGAGCCCTGCAAGCTAAGCCCTCTGAAACCCCGGACGCTGCCGAATCCCAGGATCACGAAGTAGGGGAGGGTTTAGGGTTCGGGGTTTCGGGTTTAGGGTATAGGGTGTAGGGTTTAGGGTTTAGGGTGTAGGGTTTAGGGTTTAGGGTTTAGGGGTTTAGGGGTTTAGGGTTTAGGGGTTTAGGGTTCCGCAAAATGCAGCCAATTGCTGACAGGAACATCATCTTGAAAACGGGCGCAGAGCGAGGACCGCTTCTTCTTTTTGTTGTGGTTCCTTCAGGTCTTTGAGGCTGTCATTGCATGAGACCCTAAACCCTAAACCCCAAAACCCTAAACCCTCAAGACCTAAACCCCCAAACCCTAAACCCCTAAACCCGAAACCCCTAAACCCTAAACTCCTAAACCCGAAACCGTTGATGCTTGGGGGTACGCCTGTACTGTTTTGAGTCGGAGTCGGGGAATAGTGTCCTTCTCAGTTCTGGTGTTCAGGTCTAAGACGCAGAGCGGTTTAGGGTTTAGAGGGGTTTCGGCGTTAGATTTGTGGGTTTTGGGCGTACTCCCCTGCTATTCGGTGTCTATGCAGATTTCCGGACCTTCGGCGAGTGAACTTTCCTGAAAGCTGATATGATATACGTTAAAGAACCCTAGACCGGCGAACTGGTGGTGCATAATACGGGGATAATCTAGAAGCTGCCCCCACCCTGTAATAGTGGTATAATAGGAATATAATCGGGCCCTAATATATTCCTATATAGTCCTTATGGTCACTATTACAGGGTGGGGGCCCCTTCTAAGGGATAATACAATGTACCCGAAAGCCTACCTCAGAACTTACGGCCCCAAGATTACTTCGACCGAAGCATCAGGGCAATGAGAGTGTAGAGCTTGACGCCTAAACCCTCAACCCTAAACAAACCCTTACACCTGAAAGCCCCAAAGCCCTGAAACCACCATCATCCCTAAAACGCTAAACCCCTAAAACCCTGAAGCCCTAAAGACCTAAAGCCCTTAACACCTGAAGCCCTGAAGCCCCAAAGCCCTAAAACGGAAGACAGAGGCCGAATCATCGAACGCGCAAGAGCCAAACCACAAGCCCTAACCAGAGATGTACTAAGACTCCAATATGGCTTAATTGACAACATATAGTCTAAATTTCACTAGGATCCTTAACGTGATCTAATGAATGTTCCTTCGTTCATGGATATTGGAGTCTCTGGATACTTCTACAGCCTCCGAAAGTCTCTTCTCTTAGTCCTTCGGATTTTGGAGTGTCTCAGCCAACCCTACTTAGAGGATCTTGGGACTTAGTAGCTAGGGTTATAAGTAAGGTAAGTATACTTATGACCCTAATTCGGGTACTTGTAACCTTACTTACTAAGTCCCATACATCCCTTATAGTACCCTTATAGATCCCTCTAAAGATCCCTTTAAGGAGCCCTTTATATAACCTTACTTGCTAAGTCCCATGATCCTTGAAGTAAATCGTAAGCCGATTACCCTGGCTCCTGTCTGGGTTCTTGTTAAGGGGTTTAGGGGTTTAGGGGTTTAGGGTTAAGGGGTTTAGGGTTAAGGGTTTTAGGGGTTTAGGGTTTAGGTGTTTGGGGTTTAGGGGTTTAGGGGTTTAGGGTTTTAGGGGTTTAGGGGTTTAGGGTTTAGGTGTTTGGGGTTTAGGGTTTTAGGGGTTTAGGGTTTAGATGTTTAGGGGTTTAGGGTTTATTCCTGTTAAGGGATTTAATTTGGGAGTTTCCGACACTAGGGGACCTTAATTTGAAACCTTAATTCATCGGATTGTTATAAGGACCCCAAATAAGGTACCCCCTAATTGTCGGAAACTGCCATGCAAGTTACCACAAGAAGCAGACCAGATTATTTACTTTATATCCTTATTATGGTAATTGAGAATACAAGTAAATTCCTCAAGAAGAACCCAGACAGCCGAACAATCTAGAAAGTAGATCCCCTAATTTGGGGCCCTATACTACTAAGGATACTTTATAGGAGCCACCATTAAGGGATCTATTTTTTGGATCCTGCAGAAGGGGGTCTGGGAATCCAGCTCTGGCATTGGTCCTTGCCAGGCCTGGCCATTGGTGCGAGCTTTGTGGCTCTAGGTTTTGGCTCGGTCTTTATCAGCCGCCCGGCTCTTTTGACACAGAACCTGCTGTTCCAAGTGACCGATGTTCGGTAAAGCTATAGTGACTATAGGGATCCGCGGTATGATCCAAAGCTGTGCTTTTCGTAAACGAAGCATCCTGGGTATGATTTCTGATGGCTTATCCCTTAGTTGACGCACGTTTTCCCTGAGGCGGATGAATGGATAAATTGCAAGGTGCTCGATTCGGGTGCTTCGAAAAACGGAACCCCAAATCCGAGAACCACGAACCCGAACTCCCGGGGCCTCGAATCCGGGAAGCCTAAATCCTGAAGCTCTGAACCCCAAACCCAGACCCCCAGGAGGATCTAGAAAGTAGATCCCCTGATTTGGGCCCTAAGGGTACTCTATATGAACCCCCCATTAAGGGATCTACTTTTTGGATCCTCCAAAGGCAGTCTGGCAACCCCGAAGGCCCCAAACCGGAAAGCCCCTCAACCCCATAACCTTGAACTCTTGGAGCCCTAAGCCGTAAGCCCTAGGGTTTAGGGTTTAGGGTTTAGGGTTTTGATACGATGGTATACTACAATCCTGAGGTAGTATCACGAACACCATGGCGGATATCCAGCGTCGACGTGAGCGGAAGAAGCAGCTACTCCAATCGGCGCCATGGCTTCTGTTAGGGTTCCTCAAAGAATTCCTGTAAGGGTTCCTTTAAATGGCTTTAGGGTTCCTTTAGCGGTTCCTTTAACGGGGTTTAGGGTTCCTTCCAGGGTTCCTTTAAGGGGGTTTAGGGTTGCTTTAAAGTTTCCTTGTAGGGGGACCCTGTTAAGTAGACACCTATAGTACAGTACCCTTTAAGGGTTAAATTTGCGAGGGCTGTTATGGATTTTCTGCTGCGTAGCTGTCGTTTGGGGTTTAGGGTCGAGGGATTTGATCTCTAGTTTAAGGCTCCGGGGCTTAGAGTTCCCTGGAACCCCTAACGTAGGATCACCAATGCTATTTTGGGGGTTCCTTCTTATGATTATAGTAATTACAATGTTCCCCAAAACCCTGTTCGAACTATCAAGGCCCCACCTCAAACCCTGATGTCAAACGAACCCTTATAGTACCCGTTGAACGAAGCCTCAAATCCCAAGAAGCTGAGGCCGTAGGGCGTGGGTCAAGAGGCTACGCTAATCAGGGTTTTCGGTTTTAGCTTCTGGGGCTTAGGGTTTAGGGTCCAACACCCTGGCAAGGTAGACGCTTGCAAAATCTTGTTCTTGAGACCCGATTGAAATCCTAGAAGGCCTTGTCGAAGCTCTCCTGAAGGCCTTACCCCTGATGATTCAACCAAGCCCTAAAATCTTAAAGCCTGCAGCCTAAGCCTGAAAAGCCCTACTCCTAAACCCGTAACTTTAAACCTAAGGGTTTAATCCCGTAACATCTCAAACCCTGAACCCTTAACCCTAACTGAACCCTTAACCTTCAACCCTCAACCCTAAACCCTTAACAGCTTAAGCCCTAATCCCGAAGCCCTGCAACCCTAAAGCCTTCAAGGCCTGTTTCAAAGAATGCTTTTTGGGGTTACAGTATAGTATAGTATAGTCGAGTATAATATCGTATCGTGTCGTGCTACGATCGAATAGTATATTCTAGTATAGTCTAGGATAGTCTAGTATAGTATAGTCTAGTATAGTCTAGTATAGCCTAAGATGGTCTAGTATAGTCTAGTCAGTACAGTATACTAGGACCCGGAGTAGGCCCTTATTCCCTTTTTTAGGGTTTAGGTTCCCTTATAAAACCCTTTAAACCAAAAAGGGCACCCTTTTTATTCCTAGGTTCCTCTTAGGTCTAGTATAGTAGAGTAAAGTCTGCTGGTTCCCAGGTGCGGGAGTACTGCAGCTCTCATGCCATCTCCGCCTCCCACGCCATGAGGATCAAGAGCTGCCTGCCTGCGACAGAGGGCCTTATAAGGAGTCGTCGGACTTGTTTTAAAGGGATCTCTAGGGTTCCTTTAAGGGATCTATAAGGGCTCCTTGGTCGAAGTCGGGCTTTAGGGTTTAGGGTTTCAGGGTTTTGGGTATAGGGTCTTAGAGGTCGTTGGGTTCCCAAGGGCTTTGGGACTTAGGAGGGTCTCGAGGTCTTCGGGGTCCTAGGGATTCAGGGTTTAAGGGCTTTAGGACGTAGGGGCCCTTATAGCTTCGGCGTTTCAACCGCCGCAGCTCTAACCTGCCAAGCCCACAAGTCCGAAACACACAGACTCCCGACTCCCAACTCACTCGGGGCATCATTGTTTAGGGTTTAGGGTTTAGGATTTAGGGTTTAGGGTGTAAGATCTAAGGTTTAGGGTTTAGTGTTTAAGGACTTCGGGTTTTCCTCACACCCTTGAGGTACAGTACAGGGAATCCCCGCACTAATCCTCCCAAATCCATGTTCCAACTTTCCGGGGGTTCACTATAGATCTTAAGCTATGGAGGAATCCCGAAGATCATGAAAGCATAGGTTATTTCCTTTACCAGGCCCTCTTCTAAAGCCCTGCGGAGTCTGTAAGACCCCATGAATTCAGAGAGGGTTACGGTTTAGGGTTTAGGGTTTAGGGCTCTTCCTCAAAAGGCTTTGGCGTCTGTTGCCCTTCAAACCCCACTCCTTCCAAGCCCCAAGCCCTGAATCCGAGCCCAGAGCCCTTACTTAGAGGATCATGGGATTTAGTAACTAGGGTTCCCTTAAAGGGCTCCTAGAAAGGGATCGAAAAGGGTTACTATTAAGGGTTCTATATGGGTCTTGGGGAGTATGTAGAGGATCATGGTATTTAGTGACTAGGGTTATAACTAAGGTAAGTATACTTATAACCACTTATAGCCCCAATTAAGGTACTTATATCCTTACTAAGTCCCATACATCCCTTATAGTACCCTTATAGATCCCTTTAAGGAGCCCTTTATATAACCTTACTAAGTCCCATGATCCTCTAAGTAGACGCCGGAGGCTTCGTGGAGCGGGAGCACTCTCGAAAGAAGACCCTGAAGGCCGGATAGCTTTTTGTTTTGTTTAATGTATTTTGCTTTTAGTAATATGCTTCATGGTTCTTTACTGTTAGTATCATCATGGTGATGGCACGTGTTCTTGATTCCTGATGTTTCTTCGCATTTTTTACGTTGGCGATTGTTCCGCTTGCCATATTGGTTGATTTCGCGCGCTTTGCAATTCGTTTTTGGATTGTGGATGCTGCTTTCGTTTGGTTTATCGCATCTTGTTGCAGGGATAGTGCTTTACCCGAAATGTCAATGCATACTCAATACTCAAGCCCTAAGGCCTGTTCCCGAAAGCCTGAGCCCCTGAACCTTCGACCTCAAATCAAATGAGTCTATGAAAGCCCGAAGCCATGAAGTCCGAACTCAAGGCACACCTGGAGCTGCTGGAGACCCTACCGCAAGATATGCGGCTTGGGCTTAGGGTTTTGGATTTCGGGTGCAGGGTTTGGGGTTTAAGCTTTAGGGGTTTAGGATTTAAGGGTTTAGGGGTTTGGGGGCCTAGGGGCTTTGGGTTTAGGGTTTTAGGGTTTAGGGATTTAGGGGTTTAGGGTTTAGGGGTTTAGGGGCTTAGGGTTTAGGGGCTTAGGGGTTTAAGGGCTTAGGGGTTTAGGGGTTTAGGGCCTTGGAGTTGCAGGTTTCAGGATGGACGCAGCAAAGGTTTCGTCGGAGAGGGATCAGTGGTGATGGGGTTAGTGCAGTAGCAGCAGCAATACCAGTAACTCAGTAGCAGTAGGAGTAGTAGCAGTAGTAGTAGTAGTAGTAGTAGTAGTAGTAGTAGTAGTAGTAGTAGTAGTAGTAGTAGCAGTAGCAGTAACTCAGTAGGAGTCGCATTACTTTTCTAGCCACTCTTGCTGCTGCCGCTGCTGCTACACTACTTCTTCTTCTACCAGTGCTCCCACTACGACTGCTACTACAGTGCTACTGCTAGGCTTGTAGTACAACGGGCATTCCGTATGCCTACACTACACATCTTGTACAATTTGTGCGACAATCGCGGCCTGTACAGCGACAAGGAGTGCTGTCGTCAACGACAACTGTATCCGCGTTTTCCGATATATGCACATGTAGCTGTATATACACAGCATAGAACATACATATGCATTTAGCTACCTGCAAACGTTCTTACCTACCTACCGATCTACCTACCTACCTGACTAACCTACCTACATATGTCCGCACGTGCATACATGCATACATACAGACAGACATGTGGGAGTTTCCCAAAATACGGGACCCTGGTAGGACCCTAAATTGCAGGATCCTTATTACAAGGACGCCAAAATGAGGTACCCCTAATTTTCGGAAACTTCCCCAAGCCCTAAATCCTATAGCTCCCTTAAAGGAACCCTTAACGGAACCGTAAGATAGATCCCTTTAAAGGTACCCCGAATTTTCGGAAACTCACATGGGGGAAAAGGAGGGACCCTTAATAAGGACCCTTAGGTATATACCCTTAATGTAGCTATTATATACCCAGTATACGGTCCATTATAGGGTAGGGGTCCATCAAGGGTCCCTCCTTTTCCCCTAAACCCCCTAAACCCCCCAAAACCCCTAACCCCTATACCCTTCTAGAAACCCTATAGATCCCTTTAAAGGGTCCCCATTAAGGGTCCCTTCCTATCCCCCAAACCCTAAACCCTAAACCCTCATAGATTCCTTTAAAGGAACCCTAAGAGATCTAAATTAAGGGTCCCTCCTTTTCCCCTTATAGAATCCCTCTAGATCCCTTTAAAGGGTCCCCAAACCCTAAACCCTTATAGAATCCCTATAGATCCCTTTAAGGGTCCCTCCTTTTCCCCTTGGATTTAAGGCTCCGGGAGCTCTTTCACGAAGCCCGTAGTTCGACGCTGGAAAGCCACATGTTCTTCTACGACATAGGCCTTTGGGGGGGGTTTAGGGTTTAGGGTTTAGGGTTTGGGGTTTAGGGTTTAGGGTTTTGGGTTTGGGGGGGTTTAGGATTCAGGGTACCTTTAAAGGGATCTATTCAGGCTTCCGTTAAGGGTTCGGCCTTTGGGGGGGTTCATATTGAGAATCTTATAGGGTAATCCCAACAAGGGGGGGTTTCTGGCTTTAAGGGTTTTAAGGGTTCCTATAAGGGATCTAGAGGGTTTAGGGTTTAGGGTCTAGGGGTTTAGGTTTTAGGGTTTAGGGTTTAGGGGTTTTAGGGTTTTTGGGTTTAGGGTTTAGGGTTTAGGGTTTAGGGACTCCCAGTATAGAGCCTCAACCTAAGACCCTGCAACAGCCGCGGAGAAACTCGCCGGAAGGCTAACACAATCTGAAGCTGAGAAAATACAGAGTCCTTGTGGGGTGATCTCCGTTTATTTGGGTCCTGAGGCTGAGGATTGTGGATTTCCGGGTTTCCGAACGATGGTTTCTTAAGCTTAGGGCTTAGCAGATGCCTCATTAGGGGGCCGGCCAAGCCGGAGCCTATTATTTCGGGTCTAGATGAGGGTCCCTTATCTTCCTACACTCGTGGCGCTTTTCTGCTTCAGGGAAAGACTCACGTTCATGGAGTGTAAGAGCAACTTTAGATGATTCTGGGAATGAAAAACAATAGACAAAAGGGATCGTCGATATGGGTTCTCACCGCAACAGGCTTGTCAAGCGGAGTTGAATCCGTCCGCTGACCCACCGGATCGTCGTAGTACGACTCAGCTCATAGTTGAGGGTTCAGGGTATAGGGACTTTTTTCGGAAGCCACAGAGGACTCTGAGCATAGGAATCTTTTTGCGCAACTTTCTTCCCGGAAAACCCCAGCAGCTCTTATCAACCCTTCAAAGACAGATCAATCTTCTTCGACCTGCTAGCACGTCTCACAACTCTAAACCCTGATTAACGCTTAAACTCTAAATCCTAAACCCCAGATCTAAAGCCTAAGCCCTAAACCCTAACGCTAAAACCTAAACCCTAAGCCCTAAAACTAAAACCTAAAGCCTAAACCCTAAAGCTAAAACCTTAAACCCTAAATCCTAAACCTTAAACCCTACATGTAAATCCTAGATCCTAAACCCCTAAACCCTAAATCCTAAACCCTCAATTCTAAACCCTAAGTCTTATGCACCCACTTTAGAAGCTCCTGAATTTCAGCTTCTCTTCTCACGCCTTGGCCAGTCGCAGGCCAGAAAGACCGGCCCATGACAATGGACTTGTGCTGCAAAGCGGTGAATGAGCAGCCACTTGCTGCGGTTTTGGGTTTAGGGTTTAGGGGTTTAGGATCTAGGATTTACATGCAGGGTTTAGGGTTTAGGGTTTAGGATTTAGGGTTTAGGGTTGAGGGTTTAGAGTGAGAGTTTAGAGGCTGAATGCTGTTTTGGAGCCTAGTAGTAGAGGAGGTAACCTTTAACCTTTGTTGGGTAGTTTAGCGCATATAAAATCACTATATGACCACAAAGGTTAATTTTTTTGTTCCGCATGATACCCGACAAGTAGGGGAAGGGTTTAGAGTTTTCAGGGCGTCAAACCTCATTGTGGACCCTGTTTACCGCGCCCCCTTCCTGCAAGGCCTTATTCTTGAGATTCGTATTGTAACGTTTCGGATCTTTAGCTAAGGTCACACAGGATGCGCCTATCTTGCAAGCAGTCTTTCCTTGGCTTGACCGCTGAAGGAAAGGAACCCAGCACACTGTAGTAGCGCTGTTTGACTTAATTAGAGTATGTACCGTAAGACCCCAGACAAAACTCCACAGTAATCTCCCAAGAAGTTGGGATTTTTGTTGCCGGGACCCTCTTCTATCTTTTAGCTGAAAGTCATGTGGGGAATGATACTCCCCACTTTCTGGCTTCTACTTTGAAGCCAACGCTTCAATCCTTGACTGGGGCTCCCTACCGAACACCCTGCAACCCTGAATCCCACAGCCCACCAAATCGGTAACCCTAAACCCTAAACCCTAAAACCCTAAACCCTAAGACCCCAAACCCTAAAACCCCTAAGACCCTAAGACCTTAAGACCCTAAAACCCTATCCCCTAAAAAGCCCCGAGCCATCAGCCCTCTACTTCAACCCTAAGCCCTGAGACGTAAAGGGAACTCCAGCAAGCTTAGGGCTTACCCATAGGCCCCAAAGTAGTTTCTTTTTGGGAGTACCTTCCCGGAAGGGGGATGGCCACAGCAGTACTGTTTCCACGAGCGAACGACCGACAGAAAAGCATCTTAACAGCTTGCTGTACAAGTTCCTATACACTTCTGTCTTTTGTCGAGAAGGTGCTTTACCCCCCAATAAGCAGAGCAACATGTTTCTTCTTCTATACAACTACTTTCTACTCTATCTTCTTCTTCTTGCATCCAGAGCCTGAGCATCGGCTTACCTGATCTCCGCTCCCCCTGCTGGCATGGCCGTTGCCGTGCCTGCAAACTCCACGTGGCTCATCAATACCGCCGGTGCTGATGCAGGAAGTCATCCTGTCCAGGTCCTGCTGCCGAGAGCCTGCTTCCCCAGACCGACCGCTGCTGATCGATGTCCCGTAAAGGAACCCTAACCGGCACTTGCCAATCTTCCGTGATTGCAGGAGCAACCATACGATCGGGATGAAGGCCAACGACACCCGCCCTTGGGCCTTGGGTCCCAAAAAACTGAGGATTATTAGCCCTAATCGCCTGTTGTCTAGCCTCTTCGAAACTCAACACTCGCACGTGTGGGGCAGGGCGGTCGTCCGAAGGACTTACAGGGATTTCAACAGCATCGTCCAAATACCTGATCACTCGAGTGGGCACCTGCTGAGATGCCGGTTCAAGTTCCGGCTCAGTGGTTTGAACTGGTAGTCCTCGACGCCTAGCTCTCAAACGACTCTCTCTCTCCTCTCTGAGCTCTGTCTGCATCTGCAGTGCTTCTACATGGTCCTCAGGTAAAGGCTCTTGTAAATCCGGCCTTCGCAGCCGAGCTAGAACCGCCGAAAGAGTCCTAATCCCAAACTTCAGCCCTTCCCAACAGCACACGACCGTAACTACGACCCCTATCCAGAACATCCATTCGATTCCGTCATCATCAACCTCAGTGGACCGGTGTCCTTCAGCTTGGCAAACCATACATGCCAAAAGCACAACCTGCAAACACTTCAACGTGGCCTTCGACAGACCCTGGCTCTCCTTCGGGTTGTGGACTGAAGTGTTTCCTATCTCTTGAACTCCGATCAGACTGCACAGATACTTTACGCGTTGAGCTCCCAAAGGCTTGGTACCTAAATCAGCTCCGTTCTGCAACCCCTCAATGTGGCTAATCATGTAAAACCCCATTTCCCACCGCTCGCGCATCGTGCGAGCTTTGATTCTCAACGACCTCGTTCTCCAATGGGAGTTTTGCCCTACGAAGACAGATACGGCTGCTTGATTATCATTGTAGATGTGGACGCGCGGCGCTTTCTGGGCCAATTCCGCCAAGAGGTAGACATGAGCCTGTGCAAAGCAACATCCTGTAGCCGTTGCTAAGAGCTCAGTCTCACATGAGCTTTGAGTCATATAAGCCTGGCGCGTGACATGCCAACCAACAAGGCAGTTTTCAACGAACAACAAGCAGCATTCATTAGAGCGTGACGCATCCGGTGCAAATGAACTGTCCGTGAGCACTTCCAGCAGGTTGTTACATCCAGCCTCCTTTCGTCCCGGTCTTGGGCCGCTCGGATCAGAACACAAGTACACCAATCCAACATTCGCAGAATCAACCAGGTAAGCAAGCACATGCAACCCCAGTTGGTAAGTTCTGGACGGGTCACGATTCATCCACTGCGCAAGTTTGGATATCGAAAACGACACATCTGGACGCGTACGCACACTGACCCACAGGATTTCGCCAATCAAACGCTGACACTTACGAAGTACACTGCTGTCAATGTTCTCCACTGCTTCCGGCTCCATTACCCCTGGTCCCAACGGGGTCCCGCAATGCTTAACCTTCTGAAGCTCATGGGAGTACCGATCCGCAAGGTCTTTAATGTACGACTCCTGCCAGATAAGCAAATTGCGCTCAGACGACCAAGCCAACTGCAACCCAAGAAATCGCAACGGCTTACACAAATCGGCGGTCAACCATTCTGGGTCTCCACATTTCCACATAGTGGTAATAGTCTTCAGCAACAACTTAACCAATTCACAGCACGCAGCGATAATAAGGTCGTCTATGTACACTCCAATCCAACCCCAAACCGAAACTCCAGACTCCTCATGCTGATCAAGCCCTAGACCCGATCTGCTCCAGCATCTTTCCGGTTCGCTCTCGGCGATAAGCCAGAGATTGGGGTCCGCAAACGATTGAAACAATCTGAGCTCCTGATCTTTATACTTCACGACTACCCGCCTCAGCGAGAAATCTCGACTCAGGCTCCAGTCTCTAGGACTAGTGTCAAGTCCGTAAATCGCCTTGGCCACCTGCCAAAGGGTGTTTTTGCCGACTAAGCCCCGCTGCACCAAACAACGCGGAGGGATTAAGATCACGATTTCATCGATTGGTACGCTCTCTCCCTGCGCAGCCGCCGCAGCGGCTTGCTCCGCCTTGACCCTCGCCCTCGGTAAAAGCTCCGCATTAAGAAATGCGGTCCTAATGTCAGTGATGGCTATCTCATAGGAACGTCTCGCAGCTACTGCCAAGGCACATCGAAGGTGTGTGACATCAAGGGAAGAGGCAAACACAGCATCCTTGTGATCCTGCCGACTTTCATCCTTCGAGGGTGCCATGTTTCCACACGCCACTATTCGACATTTATGCCGACCATCCGGAGCCTTAATTGTCCACACAGCCTTAGCAGGGATGGTGATTACTCGTTTTCCAGAGTCTTTCCACCGCTGCACTTGTTTCCAATCAACTGGAATCAAGGCGCGCTTCTCATCCACCAAGGCCGAAATCTCCTTGTTTGCAGGATGCTCCCAAACTTCCCAGTTCGCCAGGACCTCCGACAGAGATACAGTTCGGGTCTGCAGCACCGTGTCTGTACCATCATCCTCAGACGCACGCGTGGACACCTCAACCGCAGTTAGAGCTTTCAGTTCCTCGCGAAGCTCGTGGACTCTATCCCATGCCCCTTGGACCTCAGCCAAGTCCGTATCGCCTAAAGTAGCAACGGCCTCACTCCCACCTGCATGCTCAAGCCAACGCGCCAAACGGTCCTCAGCGAACCCGCTCAACCTCAACTGAGCACGATCAAGCTCCTCAATGTGAGCCGTCAGCTCTGACAAGTCCCATGGAGCTTGCTCAACTTCACCTTCAGACGCGGTATGCCAACTACACACGCTAGCAGCATCATCCTCTTGATCCTGACGGTCAGCTGCATCAAAAGTTTCACCACTCAGCAACCAAGCGCAAGGACCATCAACATGACTCCCAGTGCCATCCACTTGAGCAGAAGTTTGGTCACCAAGACAACTCAAGGTAGCCTCATCCATGGGGCACGACGCTTCAACCAAGTTATCCTCCAAGGTCAAGCCAAGATCCACCGCACCCTTATCACGCACAGCCAAACTCATGTCCGAGACCGCCTGAACGCTATCAACCAAGCTCACGTCGACATCACAACCAAGCTTCACGCAACTCAACACAACCTCAACTTCACCTGGCACAAGCTCCACTCGTGCCTCCGCTTCCTTTTTATAGGTTATACAATTTTTATTTGGGTTTTCAAAGTCTTTTTCTACCGCGCTCTCCACAGAAGTGTTTATTTGAGTTGGAGTGGAGGGACACGGCTCATCAGCAACACTAGCTATACATGCATGCTCATGCAAGCTCGCAAAATTTCCAGGGTACCCCGTCACGGTGGCTCCCCCTTTTGTCTGCCCTTCAGGCAGACAAAACCGCAACTTACGAAGAGTCTGCTCCTGCTCATCGCTCATGTTGGACCAACAACCAACGGTATATGCAATCAACACGACACGGCGATCAGGAGGCTGCCAGGCTTCAGTGGCGTGTAAAACCCCAGGCTTAAACAGCAGAGGCGCAGACCAGGGATGCAGCTGGCCGACCACTTCACGGCCTTTATGTCGCACGACCTGAATCTCGCCCGAAACAACCTCACCAACCTCAAGTGCAGTCCACAAGCGCCCTCCGCGCTCCGGAACCTGCAAAGGCACCAAACCGGAACGCGACTCATAATCGTTCGACGTGTCCTTGTGCACCACGGCCTGAGCGTCAACTGACAAGCTCACCGTTGTGAAAGTAAGATCCGGCAGGCGTTCATGGAGTACACGACTTAGCAGCGTGGCAAAGCCTGGATGGGATTTGGTGAGACGGGTCATAGACACCACACCACCATGACGACAAGCTCCAAAGAGGTAATGAACTCCCCCCAAACAGCGAGTAGGAGCCTGGTGAGACGACCTATGTACAAACTCGGACCCCAGCACGAAATCCATAGCGGCTTGACAATCAAAAGGAACCTGTTCTGCCAACCGGGCCGCCTGAGCATCCTCATCAATCCCTGGCCCCGGTCTCTCGCGCAAAGCTCGCAAAGACCGCTTACCCCAAATCCGAAATGCAGGAGAGGGAGTTACCTTGCCACGCATGCGCCGTCTCACGGCCCCGGGCTCGGCAATCGGAGGTAAGCCCTTGCCAACGAAAAGTTGCAGATCCGATTCTTCGCCAAAGTGAAGTTTACTAACGACAGAAAGCTTGTTGCCTACTTTGACGACATAGCCTTGTCTCACATACGTGGCCGGTGCCAAAACGACAGCCGGAGTAGCACGCATATGCCATTCTCGCTGCCGACGCCTGAGCCAGTGTCGAACCAAAACCTGGGTCCGGGTGCCGAACGGCACTATCGGTTTAACCGCCATACCAAACTTCCTCAAGGTATCGGCTCGCCATGTGGCGGCCGCCGCACGAAAGGCCAGGGCCCACTTAGATGTATCATTACCCACCAGCTGCAAATACACTCGTACTTGGACTTTGAGTCTTTTGACGACGTTCTCAACTCTACCGTTACTGTCATGCTCGGTGGGAGGGGCGAGTGTAAGGAGGATACCGCGAGACGCAGCATACTCCCGCAGACGCTCATCAGTAAACTCAGTACCAGCGTCAGCATGAATGCGAGCTAATGGAAAGCCAAGCTCCACAAGTTGAGCATGAATACGGCCAACCGCCAAGCACACGCTTTGCGGGGTCTTACGATCCAACAGCTCCACAAAAACAACTTCTCTCCACGCCATGCCCTCAGCCTCCTTTTCATAATCGGATTGCTGCTTAGCCCACGCATCCTCAGGACCTCCAACCTCTGGAGCGTCCAATCGTTCACCTTCCAGCGGGACCTCAGCTTCCAAGTTTTCGCCTTCCCAAAGGGCCTCAGGACCCTCATAGACTTCGGAAGCATCATCCGCAAGAGCACCGAACCACTCATCAACGTCCTTCTGAAGCTCCTCGAAGTCAGGATCAACATCCCGCACGCAAGCATCCTTATCCTCACCCGAAGCCTGCTCTTGGTCTTCACCCAAAACTGGTTTACCCTGCGCATCGACAGGGACCACGAGGACACCTACCAGTGCATACCGACGCTTATGCGAGACATCATCTGCCACACGCACAAACGGTCCCACGACATCAAGGGAGAGACAAAACGAAGCCGGAGAATGCTGACGACGGTGCGCACGCTGCTGTGCCGAGGCCATAATACAGTACTTACACCTTCTATGCGGGGGCCAGTGTCCTGACCGAATGTGCTGAGGCCAATCAACAGAGTCAACCTTACAAGCCGACGCGCGAGAACGACTCAACAGCACCGAGGAAAGCCTGTCCCTAGCTGGCTCCCCCCAACTTGCATGCTCACACAACAACTCACCGAAGTAACTCAAGTTCTGCACGCCCGAACCGGGAACAGGACTAAGAGCATGGTCCCCTGTGCCAACAACCAACACAGACGGCTTATCCTTTCCAAGTGTTTCACACGCAACACAACTCACCTTTGCTAACAAGCCAAGGAAGATGGACTCATCCTGATCCAAGCCGCGCCTGTTATCAACCAGAATCACAGCAATCTTTCCATCAACCGCCAGCTCAAGCAACAGTCTCTGAGTGGAAGGGCTCATGAGGTGATCCTTAACTGGCAGAAGCAACGGCTCACAGCCCGACTGATGTGCCATCTTGCGGCACTCACTCCACCAAGGATCTCCTTTATAACTTATCACTACCCTATCACTCTTATTACATGCCCGGCGCTGCCGACGATTCCAACACGCGAGCGCTCCACTCCGAGGAGCCCAAGTGAACGGACAACCAACAGCCAAGTCAAACTGCCCTGACCATAACCGCCGGACTACTGCCTCCAGACTCGCAGCAACATCTTGATCCATCCGAATGGCCTCAACCAAAAACTTTACAAGGTGACGTTCTTCAGTACTCGAATACTCATGCGCAATCTGGATCGCTCTTACCGAGGTGGCTAATGCTTCGTGATATCCACTCTCAATGTCTCGAAGAAGCTCCAATGCTAGGTCTTCACTCATGCGCGGACAACCACTCGAATCGTCCATCGTGAGAACGCCCCTTACCGGATGAATCAATTCACACCTCCCTTCAGACCAAAACCAATGACACCCGAGCTTAATCAAAGGTCTCAATGCCACAATACACTCAATGTCTTGAGTGGAAACCAACGTGCCATACTCATTCATGTACAACACAGCGTTTCCCTCGGCCAAGTCTACCAGCCGACGCGTCATCCCCTCCGTAGTCTCCCCGGGCTTTAGTCCCCGAAGACAAGTGGAGGCTCCAGAATCCAACAACCCCGTACGAACACCACGAGCCTCAAGCCTGTTCAATGTTGGCTTCATTCGCAATGCTTTAGCTTGCATGGTCTTTATCAAGTTCTGGGTTTCTTTCAACAACTCAAGCTGGGCTTTAGAGGCTTGGGAACTCTCGGACGGCCTCTCTTCCTCCACTCCTTTCAAGAGGGGCTTGTTAGGATCAGGCTTATCAGCACCCTTTCCACCCGAGCCCTTGGGTTTACCACCCTTTTGACCCTTGCTTGTGTCCCCAGCATCCGTGGGACACTGATATGCCATATGACCCAACCCGCTACACACAAAACACCTGCTTCTAGCATCTGGGGCCTTCTGGAGGTCTTCATGGCTATGGGCAAAGTTGCATCGCGCTCCCCTCGAGCACCCTTTCGAGGTAAGCCAGTGATAACAAGCGTTACCCGAAGCTGACTCACTCGCCTTCCCTGAACCTTTGTTCCCTTTAGAACCCTTTTTACCACCATCCTTCCCACCATGAGGCGGATCGGCACCGTCCAATCGGGTATCAACCCGAGCAAGCTTTGGCTTTTTAGCCCCAGAAGATTCCAGAGTCTGAAGCTCTGCTTGCATCATCTCCCCTAAAGAAACCGCCTTATCTAAGGTGGGGACCAAGTCAACCGAATGTTGATGACGAAACGTTTGAAGTCTAAACTGCACGTCCGGAAACTGGGCTACAACTGACGACGTCAAGCAGTCCAGGCCGGATATTAGCAGCGTGGCATCCGGTAATGTCACTCCCAATTCAACAGCCCTCCTACGCCAACGAGCCCAACGCTTGACACCTCTCAAAGCATCCGAAACCGTTTTGGCCCCTTCTGGTGTAGCAAGATACCTCAGCAGCGCCGTACGCTCTCTAAGGCCACCAGGCTGAAATGTTGTAAGGATGATGCCCATTATCTCGATGGATGTCATGCGCCTCATTGACACTACTTCGTCCTTGATGGTAGGGGGAACTGCTTTCAACAGAAGTGCCACTGCACGCTGCTCCACTCTAGCGTACTTGCCTCTCTCGAACCTATCGGGCCTTTCAGGTTTTAGAGTGAGACGCTCAATCGGTCCACTATCCAACCACCTCGCATAATAGTCCTGGGCCGCAGATAGAGACTCGGCCCACCAATCAGAGGCATGCGCGGACAAATCCCGCAAGGAAGGGCCTATCAAAGCAACCCAATCCCCAGCAATCAAAGGAGTCAACTCCCGCTCAGTTTCCTTAACCTCAAGCTTGGGCAATTCCCCTACATTTTTCACATCCTCAACCCGATCTCGATCCACCGACCCTGTTCCTCGGATCGCCCCTTCGAGGGCGGCTGTTAACTTTTGAATGTCATTCTCCGGAGCAGGAGGTGGGGGCAAAGGACGGTAATCGTCGTGTTGAAGTTGTTCACTCCTACTGGGGGACCTACGAGGAGGAGGAGGTTTGATTTCTGTTCCACCGGGTGAAATCGGATAAACAATTCTGGGTCGTCGAGTTGGAGACTGTTCAGATACACCCGGTGCGGAAGTAGCAGTCACGTTAGCACCTTCTGCAGGAGTTCGATTTCTTTCAGGAGAGCGACTGTAACTCCTAGCATCCAAACCTCGCGACCGAGACAAACCCTCACCAGGCACAAAATCATGTGGCTCTTCCCTCGTCCGTGCCGCAGCACCTGATTGATATGGACTGAAGGGAGTCCTGGCCTTCGGGTCGAAAGGAGATGCACAACGAGTTTCAGTAGTACGATTCTTACTTCCAGCAAGATGAAGTTCCACCGAATCGCAAATCGCCCCCGGTCTATCCACTCTCCCTCTTTCTCTCGACTCTCGGAGCATCTCATTTCTATCACTCAACTCCCGTTCTCTCACCCGTCTCTCACTAAACTCTCGCTCACGCTCACCTCTCTCAACACATGGTTCGAGAACCAACTCTCCTTCAGGAGAAAAGCGCCAAGAATGTCGAGTACCATCCACCACCACTGTCCCAGAACCCTTGGGGCCTCTAGCCGAGCCATGATCTAATGGAACCCCCGCAACCTGGGTTGGATTGGCATCGTCCACCCCGACATTCCCTAACGGAACAACAGCAGCAGGTCTTGGATCTGCAATGGCAAGGCTTCTCATAGCAGCTGTGACGTTGGATCCACCGGTTGTTTGATCCCCAGGTCTACGCCTAGGTCCAACATCCACTCCTCTCTCCATCCGTCTATGGCTACCAACACTTCGCTCAGATGCTGAGTTCTCGCTCGAGTGCTCCACCTCCAGCCTTTCCAAGCGTGAAAGCATGGTCGCTTGCGCCATCCTAACTTGATCAAGTGCCGGTGCCAGACTAGCCTGAATAACCGATTGTAGCATCACGCTCATTTCACCCAATACCTCATGCCGCACTCTCGCCAAACCTTCCTCAAGTTGCGTCTGCCCTGTATTCCAACTGCTCGGCGAACCCGAGGCTGCACCCGGTGATAAACCAACCGCTGCTAGTGCACGGTTCGGATCATGGTCTACACTACCTGCTCCAGGTCGTAACACTGGTCGTGATGATGTCTGCGGCTTCTCAGGGCTGGCAACTTCCGATTTGGAGCTTTCTTCAGCCGGTAAGGCCGAATAATCTGGGACCAGTTCTGGCTCATCGATGTCCATAACCGGTAGTCTTGACCCCTGGGAAGCTGGAGAAGGACCAGTTGCTTCTACACGATAAACTCCCAACCTCGGTGACTCTTGATGTTCGCGGTCCATAGCCTCTCTCTCATATGGCGGATGAAGGTCCTGCTCTGATACACAGCTCATGTGTGATCTTTCTGAAATACCACCGTGGTCATCACCACCATACATAGCCGCCTGCACTGAATAACCCCAATTCGTTGGGGAGCTGTCTCTTGCAGATTCGGGCGGAGCTGAACTATCCATGGCACGAACGACTTGGGCTCATAACCCCCGGAAGGGGGATGGCCACAGCAGTACTGTTTCCACGAGCGAACGACCGACAGAAAAGCATCTTAACAGCTTGCTGTACAAGTTCCTATACACTTCTGTCTTTTGTCGAGAAGGTGCTTTACCCCCCAATAAGCAGAGCAACATGTTTCTTCTTCTATACAACTACTTTCTACTCTATCTTCTTCTTCTTGCATCCAGAGCCTGAGCATCGGCTTACCTGATCTCCGACCTTATAGGGTTCTATATATGAACCCCAAAAAGGGATTACTTTGGGGGGCCTTATAGGGAACTCCAGAAAGTTGGAGTATGGTTTCAGGGTAGGACCCCCTATAATTTACCATAGAAGGGTTTTTGATAATCATATTCCAACTTTCTGGCTTCTACTGTAAGCCCTGAGACGTAAAGCCGCAGGTATATGCTCTTCGGCGACAAGATCTTCAGGACCGGCGAGCCTGGGGAAGCCGCTTGGGAGTTCCCCAAAATTGGGGACCCTAATATAGTACCCTGAATAGTAAGACTCTTATTATAAGGACTCTAAAATAGCTTGGCTCACCTCTGGTAGGTAGGGAATGGAGGAATGGGGTACAATTATAACTGCTATTGCTTTACTACACCCAGGACTGTTTGGGAGTTTCCTAAGATTGGGGACCCTAATATAGTACCCTAAATAATAGCATCCTTCAGCTAAGGCCCCCAGACGAAGGTACCCCTGATTTTCGGAAACTCCCACTTGGGCCAGCTGATTGTAGGACCTCTTGCAGAATTTCGTAGGGCTGCAGAAGAGTTTCCTGTGGCATAAAGGATTTCTAGGCCCCAGGCAAATCCATGAACACTGGTTTGGTTTCTGTCCTGGTCCCCTAAACCCTGAACCCTGCTTCGGTTTCTGTCCTGAAGCTTCTCGGTAGCTCAGGTTTAAACTTCAGCGCTGATGGATCCATCGACAAAACATGGGAGTTTCCGAAAAT